CTAGGTGTGGCGGCTCTTTTGATGATTGCATCCGGCTCTCTCAGATAAAATTTGGATAAGAAACTTCAGATTTAGTGATTTTGGTTCCTCCAATGAATAAATCTAGAGGCTTATTATACTCACATTGAATTGGATTCAATCTTAAAATAGCTTAAATAGCTCTAATTGAAATATATTTCCAATTATTGGCTTTCTTCGCTCTCTGAGTCAAAAAGGTTCCCGACCTTTGCACTAACTGAAGGAAGTGTGTGGATGATATGTGATTAATTACGAAGACCTAGGGAGTCGTTGATGTTTGTACTTGACTTTGCAGTGATTTACGAAAGCGAAAGCATTTTACGATGATCATCCACACTTGGAGAAAGTCACAATATGGGGTTAGCTTTACGTAATGTTTATGGCCCGCGTTTTAGAAAATGCTCTGCGAAAATTCCAATTTTACGATTGAAAAGTCGTATTGGCAAACAATTGTTTTCGGTCATTCATCATCAAGCCGGTACATGACATGGGGAATAAAAGTGGTCAGTGGATTGCGGCGTTTATATGATCGTCAGGCCATGTCATGTACCGGCCTGATGATGAATGACCGAAAACAATTTTTGACAATACGACTTTTAGATAACGGTGGGATAGTCCCCGCACACCGTCTACCATATGGAGTAGGACGTCGGTTAACGAATTTATTTTGTTCCGGCACTAAGCTCCTTATTTGAAATGCTTGTCTTGCAAAACGTAGCCAATCACACTGCATCAATTCACTGATTGCCTGCAGGCGACCGAAGACCCACGCCCTGAGAGCAAGCCCCAACGGCGGATACAGGCATCCACACAAGCAGTGATAACTCGCTAACTAAGTGAAAGCTCATCAATCGAAACAAATGTTCTGCCAGTGGCTCGCTCGTTACTTGAAATGCTCATAGATGACGCTGCTCGTCACCCAAGGCCCCACTGTACTCGTTTGTTAACCAAATTAATAAATTTGAGTGGACCCAATTGTGAAAAAACCCGAGGCTCTTGGCGGGATTTGAACCCGCATAGTAGAGAAGGCCTTTACCGGAAGTCAACGCTCTAACCACTTGAGCTACAAACGCCCCAGCTCGCGCCCTGAATTTAATCACACTTGGGTCGATTTTACCCGCCCAACTTTACTGCTCGTATGGAATCCACCAATACGGAACAGCAAGCTGACTGCCCAAGCAGGATCCACTAAGCAATCATCTAGAATCCACCAGAATGACTAATAGGCTGACTTAGTTATTAGGAGGTTTGGCAGATTTGCTTACTTTGAGCTGACCCAATTGTAAAATTACGGGTTCAAATCCGGTCAAACGCCTCGAGTTTTTTAAAAATTGGGTCAATTCAAATCAAGCAAATCTGCCAAACCTCCGAATTAATAAAGTAAAAACTAGCCAGTTATCATGGGTTACTGAATATCAAGAGGTAAATGTAGGAGAATAATTTCCTCCACCAGTGGGTTACACATTACATTACAGCTGGTAAGTTTGATTGAATACATTCGGTATGGATGACTTGCATGGCCGTTTAAACAGGACACGGCAGTAGGAGCGCCCGAACTACTTAAAATAGGTGGTCTTGCGATAAGGTGCCTGAAGGGTATATACTCACGTGTCCTAACCCCAACATAAAAGCAAATTGTAACCTTAATCCTACGCCTAGCCTTAGCCGAAACCTAAATCCTCCAGGTGACACGAACCCAAACCTTAACCATTAGCATAATTCTGACCCTAACCCTAGTCCTCACCTCACTCCTAAACCCAATTTCCTCACATTCCCGTGCCCTGTTTGGGGGGAAGGGCAGATTGGCAATCACAATGGGGCATTTGAGTGTCCAGAGTCTACATTGACTGAATGTGACGTCTGACTGCCCGCAAAGGTTAATGCTTGAGTGATCGATGTGCAATCTCTGTTGATTTGCAAAGGAATGAAAAGGTTCGCGTTCCAGGTATCTGCATGGATAAGGAAGAAGACGTCCCGAGCACCGGATCAATTGATTTATTGTCCTGAGCTTTCGAACTCTTACAAGAGTCCATCTTCAGAGATGAGAAGTAGCAACCAAAAAGATGGTTATTAAAGTGGTCATAGACCAATCAACTGCCAGAAATGATCAGGTTGTCAAGGGGTTAGAAACAGCTGTCAAAAAGGATGGGGGAGGAGGGCAATAAGCTGTCAGTGATGTCGGGGGACACTTATAATGGTTTACGCTAATTAGCTGTCACTGGAGTAGGGGGTCATGAACAACAATTAGTGTGGCGCCTAGTCACCTGGTGGAAGGTCCTGGTAACACTGCCTCCTCTTCTGGCCGGTTCGTCGTGGGATCCTCTTCGTTTGCACTCCTTGCGTTCGGTTTGGTCTTCTTTCGTCCTTCGCTCATAAGACTTTGTAGGCCGCGGGGAGGTCTAGATGCCTGTTGACGGAGTTCGCATCCGAGTACCATGCCTCAAGCATCAGCCTTTCGGCTTTTGAGTTTCCCCGGCCTATGATATTTGCTCCCTGAAGACTGAATTCATGGCCAGTTTCCGCGACGTGTGCTGCAAGTTGAGACTTTGGGTCTAGTCTCCGAGCTGCCAGTTTGTGCTCCTGAAGGCGGGTCTGCAATTTGCTGCCTGTTTCTCTAACGTAATTGCAGTCTCCATCGTTGAAAAGTATCTTGTAGACAACTGCAGAAATTTCTGTAGGAGGCAGTCGGTCCTTAGGTTGCATCACCCGGAGGCTTATTGTCGCCTGCGGTCGATGGGCTATATCTAAGCCAGCAGGTTGCAACAGTCGTGAGACTGCTTCGGAGACCCCTTCTATGTAGGGAATGGCCCTTCAAACGTCAGGTTGTTGTTACCCTGGCTTTTGTCTGTTCACTCTGTTGATTTGGCCGTTTTACTTGCGCTCATCAATCGGACTGCAGACTATGCCCGTCCCGCTGTGCCATGGGGTTAAGGGCAGAGGCCTAACGATGAGGAATCCATGCCGAAAGAAGTTCCGAAAAAGACAAGGGAGACTAGAATTCACCTTTCTGACCTATTAGCCATCATCATTAGCCAGTAATAGGCATTAAAGTCTCTTTTGTCTCTGTGCGTACGCTATGTATAAGCCAAGTGTTCAGGCTCTTACCTCTTTCCGCTCCCTTTAAATGCGTTTTATTGTTTAAAAAAGCGTAAGATTACATTTCGCAAGACGAGCGGTTCACTTGACGAGCTTGGTGTTGCGACGAATTAAACTGGTTAACTGAGGTTCAACTGTACTTTACTTTTCGGCAATTTACGACGTCGAAATAGTTTCATGGCGATTATCCAGGCTTGAATATATTAACAGCAAGGATTTATTTTGTTTGTTTTTTTAACTTCCCATAATCTTTTATGGTCAGCGTTTTAGAAAACAGTAGGATAGTCACCACACATTGTCTACCATATACTCTTTTGATGATCCGAAGAAAAACTAGTCAGCTATCATGGGAGACTGAATATGAAGAGGTTCAGTAAATGTAGCAGATTATTTTTTTTCATCAGCATTGCATATTGCTATACAACTGGTGGATATGATTGAATATATCCGATAAGGATGACTTTTATGGCTGCCTAGACAGGACACGGTAATAGAAAGACCTCCTTAAAATAGGTGGCCCTGCTAAATATTTCTGTCGGCTTTTTAATAAGTTCCTTTCTGACCGCTTACAATAGTATGTACTGTAAAAAAGGCAACTCAAGCAGTATACATGTTGATCATTGATTTTAATTGCCCATATAAATTTGAACATATTTTATGGGGAATTGTAAACGGAAAAATTATCCCTTGAACTCGTTTGGTAGCTAATTACGCCCTCCAAGAACGCTTCTACACTGCTAAATAACTTTTAAACCTACTGACTGCTACGCTCGAAATCAAGGTTTACAAACTGCGCGCTATTTACATCCTGTTTAAAGAAAAGAATGTTTTCACCTACGGTTTGAGGAAGAAGTCACACAGTTCTCATAAAATATTGCAACAGACGTGGAACATGCTGTATACATTTTAGGCAGCATTAATAAATTAACAGATGTGATGTATCATGAATATACACCTCACAATCGTAAAAAAGCCCGTAATTAGAAACTTTTTTAAACCGAAAGATATCCTTATTTTAAGTATAAAAGAAGGCGCAATTTTCCACCAAACGAGTACAAGAGATAAATTTTTCATTCATGTTCTTCATAAAATATATTTGAATTTTTAAATGCAGTCAGAACCAATGATAAAAATGCATACTACTTAAGTAGCCCTTTTTACAGTACGTACTATTGTTAGCGGTCAGAAAGAAGCTCGTTAAAAAGTCGGCATCCTATCGTGTCTGAAACGACTTCAGAATGGACTACACGATAACCAGTATCACAACCTCACGGAATGCCCATTAGCAAAGGAGTATAAATATTTTGCAGATGTCGACATGTTACACGAATTCTAGGCCGCACTGTCAGTGGCCTTGCTCGATACTTCTAGGCGGGTAGCTGTTCTCGTGCCTTAACCTTCAAATAAAACCAAAGCGCAGATTTAATCTTCACCCTAACCC